CCGGACAACCTAATAAAAACCTGATTGATTGTCAATGTTTTTTTTTTGAAAATAAAACCTTTAGGATTACGGTCGCCCTGTTCCTGGCATCGAAGGACGATCAGAGATGCACACTTTCTTTGATAGTAAACTTTTCGAGGATAATAATGCTTGTCAGAAGACAAATCGAGCAATGGCTATCACCGAAGGGGTTACTGTTGGTTGGTGAGTGAAATTTTGCTTGTAATTGCATTCACTCTGAATGCTCTCTTTTTCCAACGTTTTCTTTTCTTCTTTATATCGCATTTTTCCTTTTTCCAGGCTACCGAGGAGCTTGCAAGAACGCCGTCGTGATGCGGTAGCGGCTGGAAAAGCGCTGTCTTTCAGTTTATCCGGGTTAACGCCAGTAATGGCTGCGATGATTGACTATGTGATGAAACCTTTCCGACAACTGAATATCTCAACAACGGAATTTGCTGCGCTCCAGGCGATTATGTTTTTTGATCCTGGTAAATTTCATTTCAGATTTACTTGTTTTCTTGCTTTTTTTGTCATTCCTGTTTTTTTTTCGCAGACACGATGAATGAAAGTTTTTTTTCTGCAAAATCCAGAGTTCATTTTTTTTTCATGTTTAACACCCATCTATAATTTCTTTTTTTGGTCTTACGATACTTCCTTTTTTAGACACGGAAGGAATTGATTCCGCTAGTCAACGCAATGTGGCTGCTGAGCAGAAAAAGTTGCTGACGGCTTTGCATAGGCATATTCAAAAAAATTACAAATCGCCTATGGCTGATGAACGATATGCAAATATACTGCTAAGGATCCCAACAATTCGGGTGAGTATCCTCAATTCAGTAACTTGATGTGTGTATCGCACAGAATGCGCGCTACGTGACGACTTGTAGGATTTGGACCTGCTCGTTTCCAGTTGTAGATATGTCCTTATTCTCTTGTTTCTTTTCTCAGATCGAAACTTCCGCAGATCTTCTGGGAAAGTTCGTCGGGTCACCCGCGGAAGTCCCGTGAATGTGTTGCGGGAGTTCCGAAATGAGGTGCTGCGAAAGTTCCGAAAAATGCG